AATTTGATTTTTATTATTATTTCAAAACACGAAATTTAAAAAAAAAAAAAAAAAAAAAAAAATGAATTAAATTTAGTATTTGTTTCATTTAAGATATTTTTTTTTTTTTTTCAAAATTAATCTTAAAAAATTGAAAAAAATCTGAGAAAAATAATACCATTAAAAATAAATTAGAGCCTAAATTAGAGATTCATGTAAGATGTACAAAAGAGATTTAAGACGTTGCCCACTCGTGCTACCCAATGCCCATTCTCATAAGAGTTCGTGCTGTGATTATGCACTCGTTTTTCTACATTACTATTCAAGTAATGACATTTTTTTACCTGTAACAATAAAATCGATAAAACAAAATATTTTGCTGTATCTATATTACAGCTCGTAGATACAGTTTTGCTGTTTACTATATATATATATATATATTAAAAAAAATTTATATATTTTTTATTCTTCATATTATAATAATTTTCGCAGAACCTGAAATTTTCGCAACTTTTGCTCGTACACTCAGCGCTACTGTAGATGCCTTAAAAAAGTATGTTTTCGTGAGTTAACTTACCTGAAATGCCATCAAAGTTAAGAAAACTTTATTATTATTATTTTTAATTCTTATGGCCCGTTTTGCTATTAATATTTCTCCCAACATATGCTAAGTTAGTTATTTACAGTTTTTGAGAATGCCTTAGAATTTTCAGCAGAAAATAAATAAATAAAAACGTGCCGCCAAAATATCGTCTTTGAGTATACTTACGAGATAGTAATTTTAATAAGAATTAATGCATGTTAAAGGACAAAAAAAAAAAAAAAAACATAAAATTAATAGTAATGCATAGTATCTATCGGAGATTGGGATAACGTATTTAAAGCATTTCATGAACATAAGCTGCCTGATGGGAATTTGCCAGGTTTTCTCTTATAAGACACACAAATGAGGAGTCGTTACCTCTAAAAGTCTTCTCCTGTGTGTCTAATCCTCGTATCCTGTTGGGCGGGACTGACATCCCATGAGTACCCACTCATGGATGGAGGGAAAGGGGTCGCTTCTGTTGTGATGGAGCACCCGAAGGTAGAAGTCTGACTTGGCTCCGTGGCTCTTTTTACAATCATAGGAGACCGGGACCTACAGTCTAAAGTGGATTCTGAACCACTACAAACATCCATAGCATCGCCGGGATTCGAACTTGAAACGTGTGGCACTAAGCGCCAAACACTTTGTTATCTTCTCCTCGTCATGCCCATCGATGAGTTTTTTGTGGCATACATCAGTGCCACACGAGGCCCATAGACATGAAAATATTTATTATTTGATATCATCATCATCGAGAGGTCCCCGGTTCAAACCCGGGTGCCCCCTGAGTAATTTTTTGGACCTAATGGCCGAATGGCTAGCGCTGTGGCGTTCGGTACCACAGGTATCCGGTTCAAATCCCGGCGTTGCCCATGGGTGTTTGTAGTGGTTCGGAATCCACTTTAAGCCGTAGGTCTCGGTCCTAATAAGATCGTAGAGCGCTGCGGGGGCATTGTTACTCCGCGTCCGTGGCTTACCATCAAGTTACACGCGCGTCCTGGGTAATGCAAAGTGAGTAACATCGGTGCAGCCCTTATGGCGAAGATCTCGGTCTATTTGCCAGCTGCATTAGAAGAAAAAAAAATATATCATCATTAGGCAGTGCTATTTTTTGAGTTTCAAACAGTAAAATCGCCGATATTTTGTAACTTATTTTAAATTTTGTTCGAAGATTCATTTGAATCAGCGCAAATTAAATTCGTTAAAATTGAATATAACTAAAACTTTCAAACTTTAAATACATTTCAAAACTAATTAACTGGCAAACTTTTAGCGATGTTGTAATGTAAAGCAATTACAAATCGTTGAGAGGTTACATTAAATTGTTTAAACCCTTTTTGTGTAACATATATATTTGGAAAAAACTTGCATTTCTTAAAATTAAGAAATAAAAAATAAAAAATAAAAAAATCGAAAAATTTATAATAAATTTTGCATTTGGATTTTAATAAAAGGGAAACATATATCAATATAATTATATTTTTTGTTTATGTAATTTTGAGCAAATTTTCTCATAATTTATCGAAAGCTCATACGCTTTGTGGTCTTGATTCATACACCCAGTGTTGATATACACTGAAGTGACAAAAGTCATGGGATACCTCTTAATATAGTGTCGGCCCTCCTTTCGCCCGGCGAAGTGCAGCAACTCGACGTGGCATGGACTCAACAAGTCGTTGGAAGTCTTCTGCAGGAATATTGAGCCATGCTGTCTCGATAGACGTCCATAATTGTGAAAGCGTTGATGGTGCAGGATTTTGGGCACGAACAGACCTCTCGATGATGTCCCATAAATGCTCGATGGGATTCATGTCGGGCGATCTAGGTGGCCAGATCATTCGTTGGAATTGTCCAGAATGTTCTTCAAACCAATCGCGAACAGTTGTGGCCCGGTGACATGGCGCATTGTCATCCATAAAAATCCCATCGTTGTTTGGGTACATGAAGTCCATGAATGGCTGCAAGTGATCTCCAAGTAGCTGAACATAAGCATTTCCAGTCAATGTTCGGTCCAGTCGCACCAGAGGACCAAGTCCATGCCATGAAAAAACAGCCCACACCATTACGGAGCCACCACCAGCTTGAACAGTGCCTTGCTGACAGTTTGGGTCCATGGCTTCGTGGGGTCTGCGCCACACTCGAACCCTACCATCAGCTCTTACCAACTGAAATCGTGACTCATCGGACCAGGCCACAGTTTTCCATTCATCTAGGGACCAACCGATATGCTCACGTGCCCACGAGAGTCGCTGCAAGCGATGTCGTTCTATCAGTAAAGGCACTCGAGTCGGTCTTCTGCTGGAATAGCCCAAGAAAGCCAAATTTCTCCGCACAGTTCTAACAGACAAGTCCCTTGTACGTCCCACATTGATTTCTGCGGTTATTTGACGCAGTGTTGCTTGTCTGTTAGAATTTACGACTCTTTGCAGACGTCGCCGGTCTCGGTCGTTAAGTGCAGGCGGTCGACCACTGCGCTGTCCATGGTGGGATGTTATGCCTGAAATTTCATACTCTCGGCACACTCTTGACACAGTGGATCTGGGAATGTTGAATTCCTTAACGATTTCCGAAATGGCATGACCCATGCGTCTAGCTCCAACTAACATTCCGCGTTTAAAGTCTGTTAATTCCCGTCGTGCGGTTATCATCACGTCAAAACCTCTTCACATGAATAACTTGAACAGAAATGAAAGCTCTGCGAAAGCACTGCGCATTTATACCTGTTCTACGCGATGCTACTGCCATCTGAAAATTTGCATATTGCTATCTCATGACTTTTGTCACTTCAGTGTACATTATGTGTATTCCTGATTTACATTAAGACAGTAATACCGAGAAGTCAATATCAACAAAAACCTTTATATCTGATTGTTCTACAAAAAGTTAGCCAGTAATGCACAGATTTCTCATGAAAAATTTAAAAAAAATAAGAACATATTTTGAGAGGGTCGAATTTACAACGACCTAGAATTTACCACTTTAACAAAAAAAAATTAAAAATTAGTATAAAGGGTTATTTTATTTCAGGCCCAGAAATGTGACTACATGCAGACAAAATTTACGAAACTGCGTTTAGTCAATTGCAATATTGAATCAATAAGTACACCAGTTTATTAAATAAATATTCTTGTTAAAATGAAGATTCAACGACAAATTAACTTGAAATTATTTTTCCTTTGAATTCTGCTATCAAATTAATATATTTTAAGTGTGTTTCACAATTCATGATTCCAAAAGCATTTTAATCTTCAATCCTTGGGAAATAGTTAGTGATTAAAATAATTAAAGCTACTTGAAGCAGCAACAGAACGGAAAGAAAAATACCTATCGAGAGAAAATCCTAGCATTGAGTTTGCAAAGTGTAAAATGATATTAGACATCATTTTTTTTATTCATTATTTTGCATAGAACCATGTATGGTTTTGACATTTATGAATACATTAATATATTTAACATAAATAAATCAAGCTCGAATAAATTAATATAACTGGCAGAAATAAATAACACTCGAATAAATTAATATGCCTGTATTAGGTTACAAGAAATTTTCAATTCTGTAATTTTTTTTTTGGTTATAATTAATGTATGTAAATCCTACAGCTTATTTAGTACAGACTTTCTGCAAAATATACTGATCTTTTGATGAATAAAATACACTTCGCATTCAATAAAATGTAGTTGGTGGCAATTCTAGATGACTTAAAAAAAAGAAAAAGTTTTAAAAAAGGAAAAAAAAAAAAAAAAAAAAAAAAAAAGTGGGAAAAAAAAAAAAAAAAAAAAAATTCAAAATTAATTTTTAAAGTAAAGCATAAAACTAAAACCTAGAGGATAAAGCCATTCATATTCATTGAGTCTTCATTTATTTTAACGAAAATAATTGAGAAAAAAAAAAGAAAAGAAAAGAAAAAAAAAAAGGCTATAAAGATCCTGAATAATATTCTGTTTCAAATTATTAATTATTAATTTTTGATATATGTATGCCTAATAGTTTTAGTCGATGGGGGTATGAGTTGATAAGAGTTAAACCTGAAATTTACCCATCATTTACATTTTTATATCTTTATAAGCCAACGTCCGTACCATGCTGAATATACCGGTTCTCGTTAGATCACCGAAGTCAAGTCATTCGAGGGGGGGGGGGTGGGAAAGGGGTTCCGTATCCAAAAGGTTTTAGCCCCAATTACTAATAAATGATGAGAATTAACGGGGAATGGATTCCGAACCACTACAAACATCCATGGCACCGCCGGGATTCGAACCCGAAACCTGTGGCACCGAGAGCCAGAGCGCTAGACACTCGGCCATTCAGGTCCCAAATTTACCAACGGCACGCGGTGTTCCCAGGTGGTCACCCACCCAAGTACTGACCGCGCCCAATGATGCTTGACTTCGGTGATCTAACGAGAACCAGTATATTCAGCATGGTACGGCCGTTTCACCGAAGTCAAGCATCATTGGGCGCGGTCAGTACTTGGGTGGGTGACCACCTGGGAACACTGCGTGCCGTTGGTAAATTTGGGACCTGAATGGCCGAGTGTCTAGCGCTCTGGCGCTCGGTGCCACAGGTTTCGGGTTCGAATCCCGGCGGTGCCATGGATGTTTGTAGTGGTTCGGAATCCACTTTAAACCGTAGGTCCCGGTCTCCTATGACTGTAAGAGCGTCACGGAGCAAAAGTCAGGCTTCTACCTACGGGTGCTCCATCACAACAGAAGCTGCTTCCTTCCCCTTCAATCATGAGTACGTATGGGCTCGTGGGCTTGGCCACCCAAGTGGGATAAGAAACAACAAACATATCTTTATAAGAAATTAGTGTAATTTGTACTATAAGCTGAAAGATGCATGATTATAGTAACATAAGTGCTAACTCTTCCTTCACACCGTTCTGACAATAAAGATATGCCTTCAGAAACCTGGAGACGATGGTGATTGTGACAATATATTAAAAAGCGTCTTTTATTGATGGGATTTTTCTCTCTGACAACAAGTAAATGCAGGGTAGTTACCCCTAAAAATTCTCTTGGAAGGCACTATCCTTCCTATATTACCTGCCAATGGACTGTTCCCGGTACTCACAGATATGAGACTCACAGATGCTCAACAAAGAAGGTTAAGGATATATACTTCTTCTTTCTATCTGGCAGATTTTGAGACAGGCTTTCTTTTTTACGGGGAAGGTTTGTCTTCCCTACGCCCAACGCTCTATAGTCATAGTAGGCCGATACCTACGGTTTAAAGTGGATTCCGAACCACTACAAATATCCATGGTACCGCCGGGACTCAAATCCGAAACCTGTGGTACCGAGCGTCAGAAATGATATATACTAGTTGAGGAAAAATCTACTTACATGATTGACTCCTTCTTGATGAAACATTTCAAATCTGGTCTTGTGGATCAATATTTGACATGTTTAAATTTTCATTAAGTTATCGTAAAATTTGTTTCGTTGAAAAATAAACATTTTGCCTTGATGGAAAGGAAATAATATCTCAAACGAATCAAGAATTAATGATAAACTTCCACTGAAAATAAATTTCGTTTTTATTTCGAAAATGTAGGAAACTACTAAATATGACCCGGCTTTGCTTGTTACAGAAAGTAAAATATTTTTAATATTGTTAAACTTCACAAAGGAAAAATATCTGTATAGAATTAACGGTTTGAGATTTTATAAAACTTAATTTAAATGCTATAAATTCGCTAAATAACGCAATCAATCTTATCGAAAAATTCCCAAAAATATATATATATATTTTTTACATTTAATTTGTTAGCATTTATTTTTTAGAACATGATAATGCCATTTAAGAAAATAAATTAGAAATATAGTACTCGAAATAATTGAAAACTAATACTGTACATTTTTTATCTTATTTTGTTTAAATATAAATTAAATAATTGTGCCAGTTAGTTTTTAAAGGTTGGCGCCATCTTGTGGCATGAAATACTGATGGCAATAAAATAATCGATAAGAATTTTTCTGTAACTATTGGCTCCGAATCTTTGTAACGTAATAATAAATTCAGACGCAAAAAAAAAAAAAAAAAAAAAAAAAAAAAAAAAAAAATCTAAGCATTATAATTTTTTTATAATAGGATCAGGAGTTGGGGAAATGGCCAAAAAATTGAGTCGAATTTTTTATGCCGACTTCCGATTTCTGCTATTTTTCAGAAATTGTATCTTTACTTCTATTCCGTAATTTTATGCACTATGATCTTTACTTCTATTCCGTAATTTTAAGTAGTATGATCTTCTGTATTTAAAAGATAATAAATTCAATGTTTTATTGAACTCATGTATCTAAAAAACATTTTTTCATTAAAAATGTATTTTGCACTAATTTTAAAACTGTAGTATTTGCAATAACATAAAAGACATTCTTGTACTCTAAATTTACTTACAAACAATACATATATCCTATCAAAATAACACAAAATTAAGAGGTTCCAAAGTATTATAGAATAATTTAAGGCAAGCAATAGTAAACAAAACGAATTGACGCAGAGGTAAGGTGACGGACTCCCAACCGTAAGGTCGAGGCTTCGAATCCGGCACTCGGCACAATTCACAATTTTTATATCTTTGCTACGTTGTGCACCTTAATCCTTTCTTAACGGCTAGTGAACAGTTAGGTTTTTATTGTACGCTTTTTTACCCCCTTTTTTTTTTGTTAGGAAAATAAAAGGATGGAATAAAACCAATAAAATAAAAATAAAAATTATAAAATGAAAACTATAAAAATACGGTCCTGATATTGGCCTTTTTTTTTTGTGTGTGGACTAACTATTTACTTTGCAGATCAATCTACAGCTCTCACCGTTCAGCATAATCCCTGTTTACTTGGTTATATGAGTTCATAATAACTCTGTTTACTTTTTCATTATTTTGGCATCGACAACTGGTCCCTAATTGTACTGAACTTTAATTTCTTTTATGTTGTACCTTACTTTTATTTTTATTAGTATTTTTATCTTTTTTTTTTTTTTTTTTTTTTTGAGTACCATTTAACTTGAATTTTTAGAAACTTTATCTTGTATTTCCACTAACCTAATTAAGCAACCAATTAAAATTCAAAGCATATCTATTAATTAAGATGAGGAGGTTTAAGGGGTATTTCCCCTGTTGGTACTCCGTAATCGGTACGCCATTTGCCAGTTGCCAGTAAGGCAAGCAAAAAAAAAAAAAAAATTATACATGTTAAGCAAAAATATTCTATATTTGTAATATATTAAATCTTATTTTTTAAGTAATAGAATAATTTTATAAGATCTTTCATTATTGATCCATGATAATATTTTATAAGCCTCCGTGCAAAGCAAAATCTCCCCACACTTAATTTGATATGCAGATAAAGCAGTAACTCTCTTCGTTACTAGCTGTGTTATCGAATGATACAATTAAATTGCTTGCTTAACATTTGTGGAAAAAAGATGAATGAATGGTCGTTAGAGGGCGCTGCCACGCCAAGTTAATTGGGCGAAAGAAGTGCGAGTGGGAGAGAGTGTTTGGTTAGCAAGAGAAGAGAGAGAGGTAATATTTGAAGTGTGAGAGGCATTAGAGATTAGAATGTGTGGTATTATTATCAATTTGTAAATATTGTACAAAGTTTAAATATTCCTAGTATGTGTAATAAAATAGTCAATAATTAATTCATGAAAGTTGATTTATTTTGAACCCCCGACAAGACAACATTTGTGAACAACTAAAAGAACCCGTAAGTTGGCGAATTCATTTCTTCTTCTACAGTGTTTTTCGTCAACATTTAAGTTCAACATTAATTCCTAGAATTTTGGAAAAATAAAAGTTATTTTTATAAAACAGTTGAAAATCGAAATTTTTAAACCGACTTCCCATTTCTATCTGTAACATGTATACCAAGAATGAGCAGAGATTAGGAAAACAGGTTCGATATATATATATATATATATTTTTTGCTGATTATGTTATATTTTTAATAAAATTAGGCAGAACAACTAATTTGTATTTCTTATTAAAAATCAAATAGACAAAAATAGAGGAAAAAGTTTTATAAAATAAATACAGTTGAAACAAAAATAATAAATAAACAAGACATTTAATCAATGCAAGTTGTCGACTTTGCTTTGATAATTTTTTAAAAAACTAGTATGCAATTTATCAAGGCTGCTTTTTGAAATGCTGATTAGTTAACTGTGAGCGATAGTTTGATCCAAAAAAATTCATAGTTGAGTATAAACATTCGCAAAAATATGCTGTAACAAAAATTTAAAATAGTTGACACCTTGCTTTCTTTAAATTGGCATACTTTGTATCCTGTGCTAATTTCCAAAACTCAATCGGAGAAGAGATTTGTTCTGCATTTGTAATGCCTGGTCATTGTATTGCCCCAGTTCTATATCACAAAATGGAATTGTTAGTGTTATAATCTAATTGGTTAGTGCTATATCACAAAATGGAATTGTTAATGTTATAATGTAATTGGTTAGTGCTATATCACAAAATGGAATTGTTAATGTTATAATGTAATTGGTTAGTGCTATATCACAAAATGGAATTGTTAATGTTATAATCTAATTGGTTAGTGCTATATCACAAAATGGAATTGTTAATGTTATAATGTAATTGGTTAGTGCTATATCACAAAATGGAAAACAATATTGAATAATTTCAATTACAAATAGTAATTGAAAAAAAAAACTGCAAATGTAGGTTTGAAACTTATTAGATATTCAAATAGTTAACAGGAAAAAAAAAAAACCCCGAATATCTAATTTTAAAATTATATTCAATATTATTGCTATTTTAGTGACAAATGTAAATACACTGTCCTTCGTAGCCGCATTTAAACACACGCACACATATATATAAACGGGATGAATTCATGTTGGCAGAAAATAAGGAAATAGAGCAGCGCTTTTACAAGTACTGTTTCAGTTTCATACAACTGGAACAGACGAATATGAAGAGTAGTGTAGTTCATATGAGACGAATGCAAAGGCTGCATACAAAAATTAACATTTCTATTTCTTGGATTTAATCATAAGGGAAATACTATACAATTTGGAAGTTATTAAGGCCAAATGAAGATGCTCCAGAACCAACAGAGTGGCTCTTTTCCAGCTTGTGTATGAATGAACTGAGGGGGAGAAAATGGAATTTAAGGTGGCAGGAAAGCATGTCCTGATGTTTTCGAGACGAGATGATGCATGACGTTGATGAGCCAGCTTGTTGATCGATGGTGATGAGGTGTAGCCATTGGAGATAGTTGCGAACTATCTTTTAAGATATCGGATCGGAAAGAAAGTTCTTTTGGTTTTCGCAATGCTTTTAAATGTTGAAATGAATACTTTCTTATCAATCCAATAATATATGTAAGTTATGTCCAGAGGAATGGATACAAATGGCAAGAAAACTTACAAATTTTATATTGTGCTGTGATACTGGTAATTAAAGTGGTATGAATATTAGGACTTATTGGTTTAAATATGCCTACGTTAACATTATAATATCGCCAATTGTTTTTTAAAGA